GAATAATGGGATTGACAGGTGTATTGACCATATTTCCTAATATTGAGATTGTGTTGTTTCTTGGTTTTCCATGCAATGGAACTGTTGCCTAGTAGAGTATAGTAACCAGTGGTGGATAGTAGCTTGCCCAATCAAAGTCATAGTAACCAGACATATGAAGTTTGTTTGAACATGAAAGGAGAATGCCCTAGCCTGATGTAGTTTTGATGTATCTGAGTAATTGCAAAGCAGCATTAAGGTGAGGACAATGAGGTTGATGCATAAACTGACTTAGAATATGTATTGAGTATATAATATATGGCCATTTAGTGGTGTGGTAGATGAGCCTACCAATTAATTGGTGATAGCGACTGGGATCATCTATTGGTCCCCCATTAGAATTAGTGAATTTCAGATGTTATTCCAATGGGAAAGAAGCCGTATATACTCTGTAGCCGACCTGAAGGATTTCAAGAGCATATTTATGTGGAGTAAGAAAAATTTCCTTTATAGAGAGGTCGATTTTAATGCCAAGAAAATTCTTCAAATGGTTGACTTTAAGCTGTATGAATATGAAAAAAGGCTTTCAAGCTTCTATTGTCAAGATTTTAATTATTTATGGATTTTTTCAATCAACATTATTTAAAAAGCTTTAATTGTTTATAGATTTGCTCAATTAACACTATTTTAAGAACACTATATTTTATAATTAAGCATAGAAATAAACTTTTAGGTGATTGTTATGAGTTTCCAGCACCAAAAATCCATTTTCACTAGGGTTTGTAGGTGTAATTTGCTATGACTTTAATGTTGCTGTCTTTTGTAAACAATACCTCTTGGGAAATGACCATTGCGGCTCTAAAATTAACACAGGGATGTGGAAAGAGGTTATGACATAAGTCAAAATTGCCTCTCTAAAATAACAAGGGATGTGGAATGAGGATATATTTTCAAACCCCAAATGAATATTTTCCTAAAAAAATGATTAAGATTTTTTTATTTTTTTAATTTTTTTCGGTAATTCAGTGGGGAAGACATGCCTTACCCATTTTTTCAAATAATTTAGGAATTAGGTGTTAGTAGGGTAATCTCAATAGGAGTGAAACTACACCATGGTGACTAGGGTATTGGGTGTTTCCACCACGATACCAGCCTGTTTCCCAATGATTAATAATTTTAGTGTAAGGGAATAGTAAAGACTTTTTTGAAGTTTCGCCAAGACCTCAAATGTGCTTTTTGATGTGAGAGGTGTTAAATGTCCCTAAGGAACACACTTATCATTTTTACTTCCTAAATAGGGGAAATTGTCTTGTGACTAAGCAATGAACCTTTGCAGTTGCTAAATAGTAATGGGAATTCATCATCACTATTCAAAAAACTGGAGTACATCATTCTATAGACATGCTTTATGACTTTATGAAATTCAAAGACTATATGCTCTATTGGGACCAATATACACTTATTTCCTTGCGCCAAGTAGTAAACTGCATGAACAAAAAAATAAAAATAAAATACTTATCCTTGTATTGTAAAGGCTCCATTTTTTGAACGGCGAGATCTAGATGTTCATGTTAAGACTATCCATATTTTGGACGGCGAGATCTAGTGATTTAGGTTCTCAACATGTTGTTATCATCGTTATTGTATAGTTGTGAATGTCACTATAGCGTGCATGCTCATTAAAGATAATTTAGATTTAGTACAGCTCTTATTTTGACAATCACATGCAATTTTTTGAGCATATACTTATTGAATAGAGTGGTTTACTAAAATACGAAATGCTCTAGGCAGAAATTACAAAGAAGGTCGATGAACTCGAGTTTTTAATTTGTTTTCTAAAACTACCTTTCGATTCGAGGATTTCATCCTCGCACTGTATTTTATTTTATTATTTTTTATTTTTTAGTTTTTCGTTAGTAAGGTAGTGCTGCAAGCTTTAAGGCCAAGGGGTCCGAAGTTAGAATCGTCATACTGACATTGAGTGGTTTGAGGTCCCCATCCTTAGACTACTGTTTATCTCAAAAAATAAGAAATCAAGAGCGGTCTGAGGATGGGGACCTCAAACCGTCTTGGAAATGAGTTCTGCTCAGTTTAGAGAGCGGCCCGAGGTCCCTATCCTTAGACCACTCTTTTTTTTTTTTGAAAAAATAAGACATATAGCGCGGTTTGAGGATGGCGATCTCGGATTGTTGTTTTTCTCTAAAAAATAAGAAATACAGAGTGATCAGAGGATGGGAACCTTAGACCTCTCAGGAACTAGGGGGCAATCTGACGATCCGAATCTCAGACCGCTTAGGAACTAGAGGGCGGTCCGGGGATCCAAACCTCAGACCGCCTGAGCACTGCCCCTAGAGCTCGGGGCACTGCCCCTACTAAAAATTAAAAATAAAATTAAAATGAGGTCCCAAAATGGCATCCTCGAACTAGGGACAATTTTGAAAAAAATAAAAAATTGGGGTTGACTATCCGTCCTTCTAATTTCTACTTATAAACCGAGCATTTCGTATTTTAGGTAAAAATTTCAAGTTCGAACGTAAATCACTCTATTGAATAACCGCTCCTTTGGAGCACATACTCATTGAAAATAAATACTCCTTCAATGGCACGTCATTAGTTGGTGTTTGTTCCTTAACTCCATCCCTTGGCACCTAAGTAGTCTTATGGGCGAAATTTTTTTACATTTGAGGGATTTTAAAGTCTATGTCATGCATGCTGCTTGAGGATTCAATTCGGACGCTGACCGATTGGCTAACTTCGCTATTTTTATTGTCCCCCTACCCTTAAGTCCTTCCCTCCCGGTCCCCTTGGGCTTGTCTTGCTTTTTCTTTACTCTTTTTTTTTTGTTTCTTTTTCGTTTGTATCTTGTCTTAATGAAGCTCACTTACTCGAAAAATTTGATGGCACTATTTTGAGGAGTGCTAGACGGATCTCTGGTTGTATTTTAGTGATATATGAAAGTCACGATTTCCTTGATCTCGAGACAACTCTAGGATAAACCCATTGTACTACAAAATAATATAATAATAGCACCATAAAAGAGCATGCCGAGAGTTACATATGATGTGTCGAAAGTATAACAACCAGTAAATTAGGTTCACATACCATATTATTCAGTTATTACAAAAATATCCTTTTATTTGAAATATACATTCATACCTGATGCCCGCTATTTTTCATTTGTCCCCAATCTATTATTTTTTGGATTTTTAAAATTTGTAAATTAAGTTTATTTTTGGATTTTCACAATCCAAAAAAAGACCTAGGTTTTTATTTAAAAAAAATAAAATAAATAAATAGAAAAAAAAAAAATAATATATATATATATATATATATAAAAACAAAACAAACTCCGTTCTCTCTCTTGTTGGCGTCACGATGTTATATGTACGATGACAAATTTGGAACTTGAAGTCTAAACTGTGATAATCCAAAAACTTGCCTAGATATTTAAGATGTTCAAAAACTGAAAATTAGTCTAAACTTGCACATAACTTACGTTTTGAATTCTCACATTTTCATAATCCAAATATTTAAAAATAACTAATTTTCACATTTTTGGAATTTCAAATTTGAATATAAAAATTAATAATAATTCAACGTGTCTATTTTTGGATCTTTAAAATGCAAAAATTCTAAAAAATAACTAAGTTTCACATTTTTAGGATAATCCAAAAGTTTTAAAATAACTAATTTCAATCATGTCGATCTGGATTTTGAAAATCAAAAAACTGGGCAATTTGGTCATTTTTAAAAAGACCGGGTTTCTATACGCCCAAGCATGCATATATAAAAATGCGGGCCTCTAAATAAATCGATTTTTGAGATGGACTTTAAGACTTAATTTTTAAGGACATGTAATCTCTGACATGGAGATCGTGAATATGAATAAATAAATAAATTTTAAAAACTAAAAATAATAATTATAGTAAATAAACATTTGGACTGGTAGTTTCCATTGGTTTTATATGGAACAACTACTTGCATCCATCTTTAAGATGGACACTATACACTTTCTAGACCGCATATGTAGAAATACGGTCAAGCCCCGTATGAAACAATTTTCCTTTTAAAAATTACAAAGAAAATCAATACAAATAGCAATAATACAAATCCTATAGGTAAATTTCAAACGAAGTTAATTAAAGCGGACCCATGCGTATTTTACTCTATAATAGTTCCATATAAAACCAAATGTCCTCTTGTGAAAATTTCTCTTTTATTTCTCTTTTATACCTTTTGCAGATAATTGTACTTTTCATCAATAAAAAAAGTAAAGGAAATCAATTAATGGAAGCTCATGGTAACCTACAATCAAGAGGTGAATTATATGAAATACAAATCTCACACTAAGAGCATCTGTGGAAAACCATAGAATTCTGAATAAAATATTTTGAACTTATAGTTCTCTAACCATCTCAAGACACCCAATGGATATGACAAACAATAAGGAATCTGCAGTTTGTAATGTGCAGGAATGTGCAATTCAACTTGTTAGATTTCCATGGAAAATTTATAGGTGGGTCATTTTGAACTATTTGGGAATACCATTAGAAGAGTTTATAGTAAAAAATTGTGGCATAGAGTGTGACACAGTCTTTGTAATGATATAGTAAAAAAATAGAAATTTTATCATACGAATTTAATAGATATTGTGATTAAGTATTATGAAAAGACGTTTCTTTTATATACAATATATTATGGTTCGTTTAGTAAGCTTTCATGAGTCAAAAAGTATTTAGTGGTCTGCTATGTGTGGCAGTTTAGATAGGATTTGAGCTGCTTCGTTGGAGATCATAAATAATCATTTTGTTCTAACATCTCTATGAATCAGAAATCCAGATTGGGAGTCCCGATTTTCTGTCCTTCGTAATGAAATGCTCATAAACTTGGGAAGAGTAATGCTTTGTAGCTATTTTTTTGCTTCTTATGTTTTCTTTTTCTTTTTTTTAAAATAGCTTTTAATCAAAGTTTAGCAAAATTGTGCTCGAAACTCCCATAAATATTTTGAGGGATAATTGCAGGATTCTTTTGCGGCCCCTGCAAAAAAAGCTTCTAGAGAAGGAGATGTAGAATTAGGAACAAAGCTTGCTAGGAATGCATCAGATGTGGGGATGGAAAGTTTCTTCAAGCAGGTAGAAAGCATGATACATTATGCATAAGGACATGAGACAATTTCATAATTGTTCGAAATTTTTTAGTTCTTTAGACAATCCTTTTGTTGTCACTTATGATTTTAGGTAAGAGAGATTGAGAAACAAATTGAGAAGGTCTCTAAGCATCTTCAAAAGCTTCAAGTAAGTGGTGCCCCCATCATCCTTGTTGTTGTGGAAGTTAAGGTTGCTAGTTTTAGTTGCAATTTGCATTTTAAGAACTATTTACTTGAGTTATCTCCAAATCTTAACCTTCTGTCTCGTTTGTTCATTTTCCATAAAAATGTCAGTTAACATATTTTGAGAGTTCTTACTGGGCATAACATGGGGTTTGAACAAGTGAACATAGCTTGGTGTCCTTTGTGTTCCATGAAAAGAAAATATTCCAAGTTCTTATTTATTTCTATGTTTTCAACCATGAGATTTAATTCTCACAAATAAAAATTTGTAATGATCGTAATAGGTAGATGCTTTCTGAAGTATCCAAAATAGTAATCTATTTGTAATTCCTATTTTCTGCGTTTTTGGTATGACTCTTGGCTTTTCTCTTCAAAACGATTATCATGAACTTATAAAGGCTATCATATATCTAAAAACATGTAGTGTTTCACTAGGTAACTCAATATCAAGACTTGGAGACTCAATTTTAGTCTGTCAAAATTTGAAATTTCATTCTTTTAGTCAAAAGTTTTTCTATCAAAGAGAATTTTCTTAAAATTATGATTTAAATGGAAAAAATCTAGTTGTGTTCTCCCATTATTTCTTATGAAAAAATAGAGAGTGAATGGAATCTGTTGACTTCTAGTATTATTGATCAAAATTGTATGTACAACAAGTTCATAGAAATACTTCGGCACGTAAGATTCTCATCGGCCAAATCCTAGTTTAGACAAATATTTGCTGAATCCCCAAATCATGATTCTGATCTTTGGAATCAAGAAGGTGGCCTAACAATATTAGGACCTATAGTCACTTCTTGTGTGAAACCACACAAATGGGAGTGGGGATGTAGAATCGGGGATGTGGCTGCTAGTGTTGCTCAGAAACATAAATGTCAAGAAGCATGAGTTGCAAAGAATCAAAGATTGTGAGGAATTTCGGAATGTCTTATATGTTTCTAACAAATGTCCGTTGAAGTTTGCAAGTAAACGTATGCAATTGTTTTAGAAAATCACATTAACATTTAATCAGTTTCACCTCTGGTAAAGCTATTCGATCTAAAATGCTATGATTCTCGTCATTCAACTGTAAGCTCTTTTCACATATGCGCAGGATGCCAATGAGGAATCTAAGTCTGTTACTAAGGCATCTACAATGAAAGGTAAATCTCAGAGGAATCTTATACCTCGTTGTGCTACAAACACTTTTCTTTGGCATGATGCTTAATGCATCCCATTCCCCAGCCTTAGTATTCATGGCTAGTAATCTTAAAAATAGAAAAAATGTCGCATTACAGCAATCAAGCAAAGGATGGAGAAAGATGTTCATGAAGTAGGTAGAATTGCCCGTGGTGTCAAGTTGGAACTTGAAGAAATTGACAGCGTTGTATATAATCTTTCTTCATGCCCGAATGCATCATTTCAATTTTACAAGAATAATGAAAAGGAACTCTTGTTAAAACTTCAATTTACGCTTCTCAGAATTTGGCAAACAGAAAGAAGCCAGGATGTGAAAAAGGTACAGGTGTGGACCGATCCAGAACAATTATGACAGTGTAAGTCATACGTAGCTATTAAATTCCAACTTTAATGTTTCCTAGTAAAAGAAATGCTCATATTACTTCTCTCCTTCTAGGGATCAGAAAAACAATTGAGCTTTTTCATGGGTTTAGAAAGCCACCTATAAGTCACTCGTGTGTCCTTCCTGCAGTGCTCTGAAGAAAAAGTTGAGGGAAAAGATGTCTGAGTTTCAGGTGTGTACTATGTCAAGAATGCTTTAGTTCTATATTTTCAAGATACATCTTATTTTTTGGTGTAATTTTTATTTCTGATTTCAGATGCTAAGACAAACAATTCGGGAGGGATATCGTGAAGTTGTTGAAAGAAGGGTCTTTACTGGTACTTTCTCATCGAAACCAACTTCACTTTCCTTTCTTTTTGATTTTTTGTGAGCTATAGTCCCACGTTGCAGTTAATTTTAATCTCACTTTCTTCTTGTCACGATCATTTTTGTGTCTGTTTCGAGCAGTTACAGGAACCAAACCTGATGAAGAGGTGAGATTGAATACTGAAGTGGAAGGTATTGGTTGACAATTGATATTTTTATAATTAGATTTCTTACTTGTGAATATTGGATATTATAGATGATTGACCAGTTAATCGAGACTGGAAATAGTGAGCAGATACTGCATAAAGCAATCCAGGAACACGGAAGAGGGCAGGTGCTTCCACTCTCTGTTGTAAAACATTATGTCAAATCAAATATCCCTACATGGAAATTGATGATGAATTGAGATAAAAAGATGGTGGATTTTTAAAAGTTCGCTTCGTTGTTCTCCTTTTTTCTTCTTGTTTTCGAAAAAGCATGACATATTGAACCATGGCTGAAAGAGAAATCATATTAGTCAGTATTGAAATTTTAAGTGAAGGTTGGAATTTGAATAAATTAATTGAAAGCATTCATTTTTTTCTTTCAATTTCAATTCTTCGAATTTGTACTCAAAGCTCACATGTTTATCTTTCTTGATCATTTTTGAGATTCTACCAGTCGCTATAGACCTTGTTATGTTCATACTTTAAGCAACATTAAGGCTCTATTTGGGAAGACGAAATCTTAAAAATAAAGCCATTTTTTTCCTTCACTTTCCAATGAAAATCTACCACCCATAGAGCTAAAAAAAAAAATGTTTTTCCCTCATTAACAAATAATTCCATTCATCTAGTAGACTTGTTTGGGCATCCAAATGGGATCTAACCTTTTATATATGGTTGGTTTTCCTTTTGGATTTACATGACAAAATTATTGTAGGTCATGGACACATTGGCAGAGATTCAAGAACGCCATGATGCTGTTAATGAGATAGACAAGAAGCTCCTTGACTTGCATCAGGTGACTTCATAGTTCTAAAATGCTCTCCATTCCTTGTTGACATTGAATCTAGAGCGCATTCTCAAGGGAGTGCCTACATATAGACTTGTTTCCCTCATGATAATCTTCTTGGAACTTAAATTTTTTGATGCACTTTAAAAAAAAATGATTTTAACTTCTTATACACTTAGATGTGACTGATCAAAAGTTAGACATTAGGATATTATTTATTTTCAGGCATGTCTAGAGTGCATCTTTATTTTGCGTTTTTTTCTTCAAAGACTAGTCAAGAAGTTAAGGAGATTACATATCCGAAACTTGGGAGTATTAAAAATATTTCAAGATAGAGTTTTGCACAAGGGATTTATTCTATATATTACAGATTTTCCTCGATATGGCCGTGTTGGTTGAGGCTCATGGTGAACTGCTGGACAACATTGAAACTCAGGTTCGTTCCTTGCTCTTTGCATCCTAAGAAAATATTCTCCCTTAACTATTAGAAAAATATTGTGGATAAAGCATACATTCAATGAAGATTTGTGTAACTACGAGAGAGTGAGGGGTTTAAAAATGCAACCCCCTCATAAAATCCTTCAGGTGGTCATAATCAATGTTTCAAATTGAAATCAACTGCCAAATTAGCAATTTCTGAAACAAGCTCCCCTAGTTTGACTCAGTTGAGTTGCCAAATTAGCAATTTCTGAAACAAGCTCCCCTAGTTTGACTCAGTTGAGTTCGATCTAACCATGCCATATTTAACAAACAAAATTTAAAATGCTAGAAAACTAGGAGGACTAGGCAGTGTCTCCATTTCCAGCCCAAAAATGCCAACCACCCAATCCAATATTACTCAAGTGTTGAGTGTCCCATCTCATGAGGGATGGGAACCGTTGCTATTTCCCCAATAAAATGGCCCTCAACCAACAAAGCCACGCTTAACTGATGGTGAAGCTTTAACCGCCAAAGGCAACCATAACTGCTAGAGACAGCCTTAACCGACAGAGGCAGCTCAACCACCGGAATCACCTTTAATCGACGAAGGCAGCTTAACTGCCGAAGGCATCTGAAGCGACGGAGGCAATTTAACCATTGAAGGCACTTTAACCATCGAAGGGACTTTAACAGACGGTGATCCTCCCTAACCACCAATGAAAGCAAGAAAGGGAGAAGAGAAGGGTGTGAAGAATGTGTACATGGATTAGAGATGGATTCCAGTACCGGGAGTAGGAGGATCACTCAACAGGAATAACTGGAACATCTGGAAGTCAAAGATAGAAGATCTTATATACTTCAGGGATGTGTACACACCCATTGAAGGGGTGGAATGCAAGCTTGAAGGTATGGCTGATGATGAGTAGAAAAGACTGAACCGAAAAACTCTCAGAACTATCCGACAATGGTTGGATGAAAATGTGTTCCATCATGTGTCGACGAAGGCATCCACCAAGTCATTGTAGGATAAGTTACATGATTTGCACGAGAAAAAATCCATAGGATATAACACATTCTTGATTAGAAAATTGGTAAACATGAATTCAGGGATGGGGGATTTGTTGCAGAGCACTTGAATCAGGCATAAAGTATTGTTAACCAACTCACATCGATGAAGTTGTTCCAAGAAGATAAGCTACAAGTTCTGCTTTTGCTTGGTACTTTGCCAGACAATTTGGAGACCTTGGCAATCTCTGTAATTAACTCAAACACTTAATATGATAGTGACCATGAGTTAGGCCACTAGCAGCTTGCTGAATAACGAGATGAGAAGAAGATCCTTCGACACATTGAACTCGCAAGCTCTTGTCATAAATTAAGGAAGGTCCAGGAATGGGGACCAAAACCGATCTATTGATAAAGCAAGATTTAAGATAAGAAAGGGGGATCACATGCTTTCATTGTGGCAAGGAAGGGCACATCAAGAAAGAGTACTGGAAGCTCAAAAAAGAGCAAAATGAGGATAATATCAAGAATGACAACAGGAAAACCACTGTAGTGACTACTGATATTGATGTGGTCAGAAACTTTGGCGACGGGTGCATCAATATTTAATCAGGTTTGTGTATCTCGGATTGAGTTGTAGATACTAGAGAATCGTTTCATGTTACCCCATTTAGATGCTATTTTGCTTCTTACATAGTGGGATATGTTGGCTCTGTAAAGATCAAGAATAGTGATTCCTCAAAGATTGTGGATAACGAAGACGTACACATGAAAATTGATATTGGGATGAAGATAGTGCTAAAGGACGTCAAATACATACCGGATATTCGTCTAAACCTCATCTCAAGAGGGTATTTAGATAATATCATAATGAAGTATACCACTCAGTGTTCGACAAGGGACACTAAAAGCCAATGAAGGGATATCTTGTCATAGCAGTAAAACGTATTATTCACTCTACAGAACTTAGGTGTAAGTCTTCAATGGCGAAGTCAATGGCTCCAGAGAAGAACCCTCATTTGACCTATGGCACAGATGTCTTCACCACATGAGTGGAAAAAGACTGCAAATCTTAAGAAATAACATATTCTTCCTAGTGTCAAGATTGCATTCTGACCCTATGTGACCACTATTTGCTAGGAAAACAAGATAGAATCTCTTTTTCCAGTAAGCGCTCTAAAGATATGAAAGTCCTGAATCTAGTATATTCGAACATATGTGGTCCCATGGATGTGAAGTCACTTAGTGGCACATCATATTTCATCACCTTCATCAATGATGCTTCAACAAAGGTGTGGGTGTAGTTAATGAAATGGAAAGATCAAGTCTTTGAGATCTTTCAAAATTTTCATACTAAGGTAAAAAAGGAGATAGGTAAGCTGCTTAAGTAGTGTCTTAGATCTGACAATAGGGGAAGTATACATCGAATGATTTTAAAAGCTATTGTGTCAAGCATGGCATAAGGCATGAGAAGACATTGCCATATACCCCAGTGTAATGGTATAGCAGAGAGAATAAATTGTATATAGAGAGAGTTACAAGCATGTTATCTACCGTCAAGTTATCAAAATTGGGGTGAAGCAGTCCTCAGAGTATGCTAGCTAATAAATAGATCCCCATCATTTCCTCTTGATGATGAGATCTTCGAGAGTTTGGGCTGAAAAAGATGTATTATTTGCACTTGCGGGTATTCGCTTGTAAAACATCGGTGCATGTGCCCAAAGAACAAAGATCCAAGTTGGTTAAGAAAACACTCATGCATCTTCCTAGGGTAATCAGATGAAGAGTTTAGCTACAGGCGATGAGATTCTGAGAATAGGAAGGTGATCAAGAGTAGGGATGTGGTCCTATAATAATACCTTACCATTGAAGATGTGAAGAAGTCAAAACAACTATAAAGTGCCACTTACAGTAGGAATTTTGTCTTATAGTTCCTCCTACCATAGTAAATAAAGATAGGGGAGAAGTGCCACAAGAGGTAGGGTCCCAAGAGTTTGACATGTCAGTTACAGGTGATGTGGAGTAGGGGGAGCTGGCCTTTTAAGAAGTGCCACCTATAGTTAAACTGAAATGGTCCTCTAGTAGACATAAACACCCTATCGGATACCTCACATAAGGGTATATATTATACACTAAAGGAGTGAACCAAAAAGCTACCAGGAAGCCCAGGTTGACAAATATGAAGAGGTGTGGGTTAAAGCTATACAAGATGAGATTGCATCCTTGCATAAGAATCACTCCTATGGCTTGGTAAAGTTGCCAAAGGCAAGAAGGCACGGGAGTTAAGTGTCATGCAGAGCCCTTCAACCGAAAAGAAGAATGAAGAAATGCAAAAATTTCCCGATGTGTCAGTCGTAGGAAGTTTGATGTACGCTATGATGTGCACCAGGCTAGATATCACACATGCAATTGACGTACTGAGTAGGTTTATCACTAATAATGGCAACGAACATTGGACACCGGTCAATTGGATATTCAGATATCTTAAAGCACCATCAAAAGTGTTTGAACTTTGGGGGAAGAAAACATGTGTCACATGGGTACACAGATGAAAGTATGGCTGAAAAACTAGACTCTAGGAAGTCAATCTCGAGATACCTACTTACTTTTGCAAGAGAAGATGTTTTATAGAAGTTAAAGTTGCAGAAGGGTGACAAATTGTTGCCACTATGAGAAATCCATACCGACAGGAGTACATCGGATATGATGACAAAGATCTTGGCCAGAGACAAGCAAAAATCATGCAGAAGCGTGGATGACATTGGTACCATTTGAGCATTTGGTTGATTTGAAAAGGAAAATCTCCCTCTTAGGACAAGAGGGGGAGATTGTTGAGTGTCTCATCTCATGAGGAAGGGGCATCAGTACTATTTCCTCAATAAAATTAGGTGTAGTGTTAAGATAACTCATTGGGATGTTGTAGTGGATAACCATTAAATGAGAATAAGTTGAGAGATAGACTCAACGTGAGAGGAGGGAGAGATTCTGAAAAACGAATCTCATCCCACATAAAAGGGAGCCCCACGTTGAGGCTTATTGATCATTCTCTCTCTTCCCGAGTTAACATGATCCTCTTCTTGAGGTGTGTCTCTCTAATATAGAGAGAGTTATAGAGAGCCTAGGAGGAGAAGAAACATAGATACAAAAAGCATTCTTTTAGGGAGTAGAAGAAGAAGAGAGACATTGAGAAGCCCGTTAGAAAGAGAAAGAAAGAACATTTTCTTTCAGAGAGATACAACCTCCACAAAATCAAGATGCCTCTGAGAGAGAGAAGAACCTCAGATAAGGAAATCATAGAGAATGAAATCCTTTAGAAAAAACTATAGAGCCCAAGAAAGCTTGCTTCATGGATGATTTTATAATTATTATTTTAATTGTGGATCTGATCTTTCTCCCATGGATGTAGACTAAAGTGATGAACCACATAAATTTTGATAGTATTTTATTTATTTATTTGCTTGTTATTTTCACTCGTACACACACACACAGATTTTTGGTTCATTTGTCTTATATCTGGGTTTCACTCTGTGCATCCACAATTTTGTAAGAGGCCTCCACAAGGTGAGCCAAAGGTCAAGGGAGTCCCAAGTTGGGCAATCAACAGAAATGCCTTTAATCATGAACAAATAAGGGTATTTAAGTAATTTAATACCCTATCTTAACAGTACACTTATTTTTACCAAAAAGAAGGAGAATACCATTCTGCTATGATGATAGAACCAAGTTGGTTCCAGTGAATTATTCTCATCCCCTTATCATCACAGTGCTATTAGCTGAAGCAATACCCCAGCTATGAACACTTAACATTCATATTACCATGATTATCTCTTATTAATCTACCATACTCCATACCCATCAACTTACCATCAAAATTTAACTTTGGAACCCCATCCAAAGACCATTTTTTCGCTTGTCCAAGCAAAAAATTTTTGCTTGAACAAGCCAATTTTTTACTAATGAAGAAAATGCAGGGATTAAAAATTAATAATGTGCACCTACAGGTGACAAATGCAGTGGACCGTGTGCATTCTGGGACCGATGCCCTACAAAGAGCCAAAAGCTTGCAGAAGAAGTCCAGGAAGTGTATGTGTGTTGCCATTTCCATCCTAATAGTAATTGCAATAATTATTTTGCTTTCAATATTAAAGCCTTGGAAAAAATAATCAAGTTCTTGCTACTAAAAGAAATTTGTATACAATAATTGAATGAAATTGGAGCATAAACAAAGCAGATCGCTTCCTAATGTGAATTTTTTAAATGAATACTTTTAGCATTACAAATAATATTTAGTTTGTCCTTGTCGCTTTTTCTGGAGATATCAAAAGAAAAAAAAAATGGTTTTTTTTGTCTATTATATCCAAAAAGAGGGGGAATGCAAATTTCATTGGATCATTAATTGTTTATGTCGTTGGGTGCACGTCGATCCTTTGATTAGATCCCCATGAAAATCAGGTTGTTGTGAGTAACATATTATGATGAGGACTTTGTTTTTCTTTTCCATTGCCGATGTTTGGGTTGAGAAAACTCCATAAAAGAGTTTAGAACTATCAATATCTTATTTTCCATCTTTTATTTTATTTTATTTTATTTGCTTGGGCATGGGGCTATTAATTGGGTTTCAAATTATTATAACATTATTTTCATCTTCATTTAGTTTTGGGTGTGGTTTGTATAAGGTTGAGGCCTTAAACAATCAAAGTAAGGTGGACCTTCAAATAGTGCCGGAATATGTTGTTTCAGTATAAAAAATCTTTTCGATGGCTTTAAAAAAAAAATTCATCTTGAATTATAAAATTTGAAGATTAAAAAATAGTGTAGATCGAGCAGATCTATGAAAACTTGAAAATCTTGAAAATTGACGGTCTAGATAATACAAGATGCACTATTTCCAAAACTTGAAATCTATTTCTTATCATATTGATACATCTAGAGGTCAAGGTAATCTAATTGAGGGTTTTCTTAGTATCAAAATGTATATCTTTCAGTGAATTTTTGAGATGCGTTTTAATTTGATGATCCAAGGCTTCACCCTTACATAAACTTTTTCATTTAGTTTTTGCTAGTTGGCATGCTCATCTAGTGCCATTAATGACCCACTTGCTTTAGCATCATTATGGGTCTTCCAATTTATCAAGATTGGATAACCTACTCAATTCTAGTAAAAATAGATTTGACAGCTGATCGGGAAAGAAAGAGTAGGAGTAATAGTTTACAATATAAATATAATATAAATAAAACAAAAACAAAAACAAAAACAAAAACAAAAAAAAACTCAACTTTGTTCAATCGGTTTGAGAAGTCAAAACCTATTAATTCAACTAGCCAAAACGAGTCAAATATTGGTTTTCACCAACTTTTTTTTTTTTTGACCGAACTAACCAGAACAATGGTTAGTAGTCCAAACAGTCGAATGGAGCAATCCAATATGTCTTGATAATTATGCTTCAAACAATCATGCATACAAAATTCACAACAAAACTGCCATTGAAAGCGACAAAAACTAGATTTTTCATCAAAGGAATCGCTTGGGTCAATCACACCATGTCACAAACATAGTCCTTACGGCTGGCAAATTGCTAGGCCCAGACCTAGCTTAGCCTTATTCCCATGAAGGCCGGCCCAATTAAAGGAAAACGATGCAAAACCGATGAAAAACATAAAGGCTGGCTTATATTGGCCTAGCCCAAGCAAACCCTCTGGCCACATTTTGTGGCCTAGGTCCTAATCTTTTAGGGCCGGGCTGGGCCACCATGCCCATTGCCACCCCCACCAGTGCTAATGGGGTAAAACCTTTCTTACATGATATGTCAAACAAGTGACAGATGACTCAACGTCTTAATATATAAACTAATGGGTCTAAAATATATTATTTGTTTTAAAGAGAAGAAATTTAGAATAAAAACAATTCAAATTTTAATCAAAATTTAGTTATTACTTACGCGCAAAACTTTCTAAATGCTAATTTAATTAATATAAATCTGTGTTTACTCACCTCATGCTGAGGTACTCACTAAGTTGCTTTGGCAATTCTAAGTGGACTTGTTCAAGTATTGTACATGCCAAAACACCTTAAATAAAATATAGAAAATATTAAAAATAAAATAAAAAAAATTAAACATCAAATAAAACCAACAAATAACTCATAAAATCCAAATTCGCCTAAAAAATTATATGAAATATGGATTTTTAAGAAAATGATTTATAGTTGGGAACATTTCAAATATCAAAAAAATAAAATATAAGAGAAAGGCATATGACAAAAAAATTACCAATATTTGCAAATAAAATCCAAATCATATATAAAAACTTTATACATCAATCTCCAATTTTTCTAATTTTTTGGAATTTTTCGGCTTGTTTAATATGCTTTGGGTTTAAAAATAACTCGGCTCGCGACAGGGGTGAGACTGACTAATCGATCGAGTCCATGTGGACTTTCTGGGTCTCGAAGACTGATATAAACTTAAATAGTATAAATCTCTCTCTCTCTCTCTCTCTTTCTCTCTCTCTCTCTGTGCATCATTTCTTGAGGTTTTTCTATCTGAAAGGATTTCTATAATATCTACTTAGACACACTCTCTCTCTCTCTCCATCATTTCTTCAGGTGCTTCATTTTGAAAAGAGATTTTATAATATCTACTTCGACAAACACTAAGAGATTGTTGGCGAGTGTATGTCCTCTTGTGCACATCCTCCTCTGTATGATTATTTTTTTTTTTTTTTGGGTTAGTCAGAGGTGAAGAAGGCCCTGCCTGATTTTTTATTAATAATAAAAAAGAAAAATAGAACTCATAGAGTTACAACTTTAGAATAGGGCATTTGTGCCAAATCATGAAGTAGCATAAAAGAAAGAAAATCCTGTGGTCTAAATCAGCAACCAGTGGCATTTGAAAAAACTTTAGTTTTTTTAATAAGTGCATCAGCCACCATGTTTGCCTCACAAAAGATATGATCCAGAGACCAAGGACAATCCGAAAGTTATGACAGCAATTAGCGACCATGGAGTTTTGCATCGATCATGGATTATATTGATTAATAATGAGGAATCGCTCTTGGTCTATAAAGGGAAACAATTGAACTTCATGTCCAACTCTACCCTTGCTTGTAAGGCATGAAACTCTGTAAAATTATTTGAAGATACTCCAATGGGGTTGGTAAATGCAGTAACAAAAGAGCCATCATCACTTTTAACAACTCGTGCACCACTTGCGAGCCCTGAATTATGGAATGAAGCCCCATCAACATTTAATTTGAAGTAGTTAGGATGAGAAAAAGACCATGCAACAAGAATGTGAGTATTGAGTTTCTGCTGACACCATGTGATTTGAAAGTTTTCGACTATTGCTTTCTCTGACAAGTGAAAGGATCAGGCTTTAGCATTCTCCATATCTCTAATATGAGTTGTGATTCTCTAGAGCAAGTGTTTATGCTTGGGTATTTTCCCTTGAAAAACTCAATAATTTTGTTTTTCCCATAACATCCAGACCATGGTAAAGAAAAAAGGAACCAAATATTCAAAAGACCATTAGACTTGAATCTAAAAGCAATTAATTTATTGTGCATGGTTGCAATGGATAAATCTTTTATCGCATCTCCAAGCAGCCAATTTCCAAATACCCTGTGACAAAACACAATGAAAAAGTAGGTGGCAAACACTGTCATCATTAAAATTACAACATAGGCATACATAATCTGTAGAGATCCCTCTTTGTTGTAGAAGAGAGAGGGTAGGGAGTCAATGATGAATAGCCCGCCAAGAAACCCACTTGGCCCTAAAATGATATTTCAAAGACCATAGAGCCTTAAAAATTGGTTGAATGGAACCTCTTTGTCGAATAAAATTCCACGCCTTCTTGACAGAAAAGTCACCAATAGGAAATAAACCCATACTAGGAAGTCCTTCTGTGGCTATAATGAAAGTACAAATGCTTCTACCCCCTGTATGATACTCATTAGTACCAAATAGGTAACTACTAAATAGAAAATTACTATGATATATGTGAACCATGCCATTCCTTATGACTAAAGAGCGTTATTCTAAAGCAAGGACTAGGCCCGAGACTCACCTGTCGACCGAGCCTAAGTCAAGCGACTCATCTTGGCCCAAGCCCGTTGGGTTTGAATAACTTGGGTGAGTCAGAATCACAATTGTCGAGTTTCCAAACACTGTCATGGAGTGAACTTCGACAAAATAATTACAAATTATTTGCTAAGAAAGAATTATCATGTGTTATCTCTAACTCTTGGAGCAACTTCTCACTAAGACTAATGAAAATAGTTTTTTCAAATATTTCTTCAATATATTTTAGAGATTGAAGATCTAGTATTTATTTATTATTATGTAGAAAGTGTATATTTCATAGGAATTTCATAAAAAGTTACTCATTGCAGTTTATTTTGATGTGCAAGTTATCTATAGTTGTATTATATATACATATTAACAATAGCCAATACATACAAGTTTTTTTCCTCTACCTTTTTGTGTGTTTGACATGGTATCAGAATAAAGTTCATTATCGTCTCGTTTATGTCCATTCATATATGTGAGAGTTTCCTTCTTCCGGGATCGTTCTTATGGTGGTAGAAATCGATCTCTACATCATCTGAAAGCCACTATTGATGGAAAGAATGATATAGAATTTGTCTTTGTGGCTCCACACTCTAGAGGAAAGCCATTACAAAAGAACTCATCTTTGCTGCAATGTTATGATTGTAAGGAATATAGTCATATAACTTCCCATTATAAGAAGAATTTGTTTTTATAATAATTGCAAATGTCCTGAGCATAATATTATGGAGTGTAGAAATCATCCTGAGCGAGGCAACCGGACAACAGATACGAGGAAATCTTTTCATGGGCATCACATATCATATATTTGTCATGGCAATACTCAAAAGGAGGTCTCATATAAACTGTCTCTTTAAAAAATCCATGAAGATATGTATTCTTCACATCCATATGAGAGATTGTCTACTGACGAATAGCTAAGAGGGAAATTACGGTACGAACAGTGGTCATTTTAGCAACAAGAGTAAATGTTTCATCATAGTCTATGGCATACTCTTGTTTGTAATATTGAGTAACTAGTTGTGCTTTATATCGCTCAATCATTCCATAAGATTTAAGCTTTACATAAAAAACCCATTTACTTCCAATAATAGATGTATGAGGCAGACACGGTACAAGATCCCAAGTGTCATTTTCCAACAAGGCACTTATTTCTACAT